TGTGTGTGTGTGTGTTGTGAAGGAAGGGAGTGGGGGGAGGAAGAAAGAAAGAGTCTATGTGAATGATGGCCGGTTAGTTCTATAAACTACGAGCCGCCCCTGGCCCCTGTATATCTACTGCATATATGGTATTACTATGATTACGAGAACTTTAACTTAAAGGTGAGTGAGAACCATTTACCTTTTTTCATTGTACTTTGTGTCTATGTTTTCAGGCGAATACAGCATTGGGCATTGGTGCTGTTGGCGCTGGAATTGGGTTAGGGATCTACGCACTCACCCAGCTCTTCAAAAACAAGGACGATGACAAGGAAAAGAAACAAGATTTTTGAAAGAAAGTCTTACAGTGTGATTTACGACTTGAAACATAACTTCTTCTTATTTTACCATTGCCCCAGCTAATTAGCTTTTGAAATATATTAACTTTCAACTTTCACTCCTAGTCCTAGGCCTATAACTGTTATCCAAAGAGGACTTGGTGTCCTAATTCGCTAATTCAGTGACATGTATGTTATATGTATTCAATGCCAAAAAAAAAAGCAGCAGTATAAATTAAGGGAAGTAAAGGAATATTTGAAGATCGACAGTGTCTTTGAACTCGTTTCTATGTAAATGTTACGGATTTTAAACCTCTAATGTTACGGATATTAAACCTTTTTAGATAGCATCCCTCGTCTGATTTGGTGGGCAAGGGGAGGGGAGAGATATACTTTGCAGAAAGATATTTTTTTTAAAGCATTGGAAAAGGGGGAAAAGATAAGCATCTATAGATCTATATTATTATTATATTTGTGAAAGTTCGTCATTTTGGTCGCCTAAAACTTCCGAACCACTTAACTTTCGAATTTGAAAAAATTCAAAGTGGTTCAAAATCATTTAAAGGCTGCACAGTTATATTTTAAGGAGTCTGAAGTCACTGTAGTTTAATTTTCAGTTTTTCATAAGTTTCGTTTCGGTCTAATCTTGGGAAAGTCTGTCTTCTTAGACGCCATCGTAAACAAGTGAGGCTTCCGTTCACAAGCAGTGCGCAATGTTCCACACCTTTGAAATTCTGGAGTGTACAACTACAAAAGGGGAATATAGTTGCAAATTTTCCCTTTCGTGAAAATGACTTTACGATCGATTCTTTTGAGTCCATTAATCGAACGGGTACCCAGCTAGTTTATTCATATACATGTAGTTTGCTTGCTTGCGTGCATGCGTGCGTTCATACGTGCGTTGGAATGGAAAATAGCTGAGAAAATAACATCTTTCCCCGAAGCTTGTCATGACTTAATGTATTTGCAGTGTCCTCTCAATAGAATTTTTTTCTTGGTTCTCTTCTGCTGTTTCCTAAAGTTCATTATCATGTTTTAGAGATCGATATATAAGATTGCCTTTGAAAGTAACACAAGGGTGCCTGTGGTGAAACGGTTGTGAAAGTTAATTCAACATTTGTAGATTTTTGGGTCAGTAATAATACATGTATGTGAGTGTAGCTATGCTGAAGGAAACCAAGGCAAGGCATGTGTCCTGTGAATTTTCTGAATAAATTATAAATTTTGGACTACCTAGTGTGTTACTTTTGAAATCTTTGTTATAGTTTGGAATACTTCGAGCGTAGTGCCTTGATTACCCACCCTTCCGGAGATGGACGTTCGTTTAACTACTCGGAGGGGGCTCTCATGGCCTAGAGGTTAAGGTGTTGGCCTCTCATTCAACAAAGGTCCCGGGTTCGAATCCGGGTAGCGACCGAAAAAAATGTCTTCCCTCCTTTCACCTCCTTTCCTGCTCTCTAGCAATGTTCTGTCGTCTGCTTTCGTCTCCTCTTTCTGCCCCCACCCCCTCATCTCCTTTGCACCCTCCTCTGGGCTCCTGACTCCTTCTGTAGTCTTTCTACTGCTACTCCTTGGCGCCTTCTTACTGCTGTTTTTCAGCCACACCCCTGATCTTCAGGTAGGAAAGATCTACACCTAGCCTTCTCGGACAAGGGCGAAAAATCTCGGGGGG